GCCATACACCCGCCATACACCAGTCATACACCGGCCATACACCCGCCATACACCAGTCATACACCGGCCATACACCGGCCATACACCGGCCATACACCCGCCATACACCGGTCATACACCGGTCATACACCTGCCATACACCGGACTTACACCTGCCATACACCGGACTTACACTTGCCATACACCGGACTTACACCTGCCATACACCGGACTTACACCTGCCATACACCGATCAGACACCCGCCATACACCGGTCATACACAGGCCATACACCAGTCATACACCGGCCATACACCCACCATACACCGGTCATACGCAGGCCATACACCGGCAATACACCGGTCATACACCGGTCATACACCGGTCATACACCTGCCATACACCGGACTTACACCTGCCATACACCTGCCATACACCGGACTTACACCTGCCATACACCGGACTTACACCTGCCATACACCGGACTTACACCTGCCATACACCGGACTTACACCTGCCATACACCTGTCATACACCCACCATACACCCGCCATACACCAGCCATACACCGGTCATACACCGGTCATACACAGGCTATACACCAGCCATACACCGGTCATACACCGGTCATACACCGGCCATACACCGGCCATACTCCGTCATTCCGGCCATACACCAACCATACACCAGCCATACACTGGCCATACACCGGCCATACACCGGCCATACACTGTCATACACTAGCCATGCAGCGGCAGATTTCTGTATGAACGTTCATACCAAAAATCTCATCAGAACATTCGATGATGTCATCAGAGACTTGACAATTGTTGTTCAAAATTTCTCTTGGCTATAACATTGGACTTTGGAGATGAAGGGAGTTTCCCGGATGATAATCCACATTCACTGTTAGAATTTCCTTCATTCCAGAAATATTTTCCATCCGGCCACGTCGCCTTTTATCATCACCGCGGTCAAAATTGATCGTCATTTGTCCTCATTATCTATTCAAAAGTCAAAAGATAATTCCGAACCATTTTTCGGATGAAATTCTGACCCAGCTTTAGGGCCCATTTACATCTGAGCGTAGTGTTAGTCACACAATTCTGTGTCATTAACGCACGCTATTGCACAACGCACCTAGTGTGGGTTACCGTGTGGTAGCTGTGTTGCATTGCCATTCATTTTAATGGCAGCTCAACGCACCTCCCTGCCGCTGTGCGCAGCAACGTGTGGTACTGCAATACCTTGCGTTGTGGTGGAAAACTAATGCAGCGCGTTCCGGTGACCCCAGTGCAACTCTTGGCCATCCTGTGCTGCAGTGTGCGATAAAGCAATACCTTGCGTTGTGATGAAAAGTTAACACACCTGTTCTGGAGACACCGCAATGCACTGGGTTGGTTTTCCACCACAACGCAAGATATTGTGGTACAATGTGTTGCCGCTCAGGGTGGCCAAGAGGAGTGCTGAGGTCACCGCACCACGATACGTTGGTTTTACGACACAACAAAAGGTATTGTGGTACTGCGCGTTGCAGCTCAGGGTAGCCGGGAGGTGTGCTGGGGTCACTGCAATGTGGTGCGTTGGTTTTACGCCACAATGCAAGGTATTGCGGTACTGTGCGTTGCAGTGCGGGGTGGCCAAGAGGTTTGTTGGGGTCACCGCACCACAATGTGTTGCTTTTACGCCACAACGAAAGGTATTGCGGTACCGTGTGTTGCAGCTCAGGGTGGCTGGGAAAGTGTGCTGGGGTCACTGCAATGAGGTGTGTTGGCTTTCTGCTACAATGCAAGGTATCAGAGTACCGCGTGTTGCAGCGCAGGGTGGCCGGGAGGTGTGCTGGGGTCACGGCAACGCAGTACCAGAGCACGACAGCCAAGAGGTTTGTTGGGGTGCCATTCAGATGAATGGCAATGCAACACACCTAACACATGGCAATGCACACTAGGTGCATTGTGCAATAGCATGCGTCGATCGTGCGTATAACACTACGCTCAGACGTGAGCACTCCCTTAGACAGTGTTGATGAAATCCTTTTTCTATTGAGTCATTCTCAGAACTAATATTTCCATTTCCATTCCTGAAAATGTCTCCTATCCTTCAACGACTCTATTGGTGAGATCTCCCGTCTTTAGGGTGGACTGGCCCTTTAAGACTGCTGAAAACAATATAAAAAACTGTATACAGAACAAAGGTTACAAATGTGTCAAAAAAAATGAAACCGTCCGACACATTTTCCCAGAGCGGCGCTGAGCCCTGACATCAGTGTTCTCTGTGCCCTCCCTCTATGACAGGTGGGAGAAGGGGGGGGGGGTTTCCAGGACCCACAAGGTAAAGCGATGACCCCCCCTCGGCCTAATCGTCCCGGATTTACTGGTCTGGCAGCACCCAGCATATATAAGAGGATTTGGGATTGTCATTGTTTGGGGACTATGAGACCATTATTCTTAATTGAGGCAGCAGCGATGGGAGAATGAAAATGGGATATAGGAATCAGTATTAGAGCACGTATTATGAAACGTAACCTAGAAAGAGGAAGGATGAAAATGCAATTTAGTGGCCGCATCACCGGGGAGGTCACATAAAGGGATTATCCAGGAGGGAGAGGGGAGTAGAGAAACGTCCAGCGGTCAGGGGAATGATGTTGGATCTCTTTGGTAGATGCTACAGGCTCCCTGAGATGTAACTTGTGTATTATGTGACATGACAATTGTTAATTTCTCTTAAATATAAAATAATAATGTCTAAATATAATGTCCTCTGCAGTATTTCCTTTTCACCACTAGATGTCCTCAGTGTTCCCAGTTAAATGACATCCAGTGCCATTCAATCTGGAAGACTGAGGACATGCTGTGAGTGCAGGGTGTCATGGACCCACCCCCTAACGTGGTGCCACCACAGCACCAGAGAACCCTGCACTTACATACAGGAATCAATCACTGAGGACCGCTCACCACCAGACAGCTATTATGCAGGCAGGGCCGGATTTACTCTCTCTGCTGCCCTAAGGCCAGGTTCCTCAATGCCCCCCTACCTGCCAAACCCCCCCCCCCATGGAGAATGACAGACCTGCAGGCTGCATACAAGTGATCTCGGCGACATCGCCGGGATTACTTGTACAAAACAAGTGGTGGCTTCCCCATTGTACATTTAGCTCTGCTTGGGGGGGGGCTCTAGGGGTGGGGGTAAGATAAGTGGGCAGGAAAGGTGTACCTGGAGGTGGGCTTTAAAAGAAAAGTCTACCAAGAAACAAACCCACTGGTACGCCAGTTTATAGGTTGTTATGCAGAACATATAACTTTGATACTCTACAAGCCAGTGACCTGGATCAAGTATGCACTCAGCAATGTCACAGTAATTCCTTTTCACCACTAGATGTCCCCAGTCCTCCACATTAAATTACATCCAGTGCCATTCAATCTGGAAGACTGAGGACATCCTGTGAGTGCAGGTTGTCATGGACCCACCCCCTAACGGTATGCCACCACAGCACCAGAGCACCCTGCACTTACATACAGGAATCAATCACTGAGGACCGCTCACCACCAGACAGTTATTATAATATACATTTTGTCTTACAGGAATCAAAGTCATTGGAGGATTGCGGGAATTCAGCAGAGAAGAATACGGAGTATATGTGAAAAGAATCCTCCCTGGAGGCGTGGCCTATTCCGATGGTACGTCCTGCATATAACGCAGCCCTAGTGTGTCCATATCACCCAATTGTAGGGAAAAACCAGATGCATGCTTTGCCCTGCCAGCATTTATTCCATAAATCACAGAACTCCTTATGGACCATTTTCTAATTCCTAACACCCAACATGAAGTGTCAGAGACAGCTCTGCAGTCAGATAGACAGACATTGTATGAACAGAGACAGCTCTGCAGTCAGATAGACGGACATTGTATGAACAGAGACAGATCTGCAGTCAGATAGACGGACATTGTATGAACAGAGACAGATCTGCAGTCAGATAGACGGACATTGTATGAACAGAGACAGATCTGCAGTCAGATAGACGGACATTGTATGAACAGAGACAGATCTGCAGTCAGATAGACGGACATTGTATGAACAGAGACAGATCTGCAGTCAGATAGACGGACATTGTATGAACAGAGACAGATCTGCAGTCAGATAGACGGACATTGTATGAACAGAGACAGCTCTGCAGTCAGATAGATGGACATTGTATGAACAGAGACAGATCTGCAGTCAGATAGACGGACATTGTATGAACAGAGACAGCTCTGCAGTCAGATAGACGGACATTGTATGAACAGAGACAGCTCTGCAGTCAGATAGACGGACATTGTATGAACAGCCTCCCATTTTATAGTCTTATCACCATTTTCTGTTACAGACAGTTTTGCAGGATGACTGTGCAGGCCTATAGGCACCAGAGTTAGACCTAGTGCACTTTGCAATCAGCATTCAGTAACAGACCTAGTCAGACACGCCCCCTCTCTAGTTTGTGCGCTGAGGGGTGTGGCCGTTACTAAGCTCTGCCAGCACAGAGCACTGCAGTGTACGAGCTGGAAGCAGCAATATTTTAAGACATTTTCCAGCAAAAATCAGTCACAAACCACGACATAGGGGGTACAGACTATAAAGAGAGAGGTGTGAGACCCAGCGGTAAATGTTTAATGAATTCATAGGATTCTACAAGCAGCTAGACATCATTACTGTGATGCAGATTTCTCAGACGAATGAACTGCAACATAAAAGTGGCCTTTTCAGAGGAATGTCATTAATGGACGCCCATGTGCTTTCCTCATGACAGGTCCACTTTAATACGCGAGGTCTTTATACTCCAAGGTCTGCACTGATTGTCTTGTGTGTTCTCCGCAGGGCGGCTCCAGCCTGGAGATCAGATTCTGGAAGTGAACGGAGAAAGTTTGCTGGGCGTGTCCAACGAGAGGTAAGGGGGGGCGGAGCCATGCTGCACTAATGTTGGAATTTGTGGGGAGTTTTTAACTCATAAAGGACCGTGAGACCCGTGCAAGTGTTAAAATTGACACTTCCCATGAATGAAGAGGGTGCAGGTCAACAAAAACTCATCATGGCCGCCTGTAGCCTCTAATTTGGGGGTTTGGCGAGAACCCAGTTAGCCGAAGTACGCCCAAACCTGCGCTAAACTGCGACTGAAACACTCCTCTCCCAGCCCAATCAGTTGCAGCAGGCGTCGCCCACCACACAGCTACACATCACAAAGGGGCGAAGATTGACGCTGCCGCAACTGATTGAGCCAGGAGGGGGTGTCAGTCACAGTTTTGCACAGGCTTGGGCGAACACCAGCGAACTGGGCTCCTTCACTGTCCATAGCACATTATTACCACTAGATGGCGCTGAGGAGCATAGGAAATGGCTCCATCTAGTGGCAGCTATGGGGTATGAAGGGCGTTTGTCTCATGTAAAGCTTTTAGAATCAGCCCCTATTGTACATCTGTCACTCAATATCATTTCTTTTCACAGAGCTGTAGACATTTTGCGGGCAGCATCAGCAACCAGCTACATGAGACTCATCATTGCTCGGGACGACGAGGCGAGGTAATTGCTATTTTTATCTTTCTTTTACGTATCGACATTTTATCTTGATTAGGATAATAAATTAGTATTAATGAATGTTGTGCAGTTTCTGTTCACAAATGACACAGATCAGCCCCTGCTGCTTCCTATCACCCCGGATTTGCCGGCTAATTGATAAAACTTGTGTGCTTGTACATTGGAGGAGACACATTGCCGCTAAAGAGCCTCTGCAACCCCAGTCACACCATAAAATATGTTCTGTGTGGAGACTGTAGAGAGGTTGAGAGTTCAGGTTTGATTGGGATCAGAGTAAAGGTGCCCATACACCTGCCGATCATCGTATGTAGGGATAGGCAAACTCAGCCCTCCAGTTGAGTCTTCCAAGGCCAGATGGTACTTTCACCACAGCAGAGTGCCAAGGTTGCCTACCCCTGTATTAGTGGATTGGTGATGAGCCTGTGGCCTAGTGAGGTCTTGTCCATGACAAGAGGAAGTATGTTGATTTAGGTGCGGGTGCATTGACAGTATTTAGGCCTCGGGACTGAGGGACCCGACTTAGAGCTACAGACAAGACGTTGTTCGGAAAGAGTACTAGTGCTAGTACCATTTGTTCTAGTGGATTGGCTCTTGACCTGGTTATGTCCTGTCCATGACAAGAGGAAGTAGGCTGAGTTGGGTTCATTGGCACGACTGGAAATCCTGGAGACTGAGAAACCCATCTGAGAGCTGAAGGCAACAAGGTGCTCGGGAAGAGTTCCCTGGAGACGGCACTAGTGGATTGGTGATAAGCCTGTGGACCAGTGAACACATGTTCATAACAAGAGGAAGTATATGGAGTTGGGCGCACTGGCAAGGTACTCTTCCCGATTTTCTATGTTGAGTTAGGTGCTTGGGGTACTCTTCCCAAGCACCGTCTTGCCTGAAGCTCTCAGATGGGTTCCTCAGTCCCCAAGGCCTCCATACTGTCAGTGCACCTAACAACATACAACATCGGGAAGAGTACCCTGGAAATTGCACTAGTGGACTGGTGATAGGCCCATGGCCCAGTGAAGTAATTTTCCTGATAAGAGTAAGTATGTTGAGTTGGGTGCACTGACAAGGCTTGAGGTTCCAGAGACTGATTCCGGAGACTGAGGAACCCATCTGAGAGCTTCAGGTAAGAGGTTCCTTGGGAAGAGTACCCTGGAAATTGCACTAGTGGATTGGTAATAGGCGTATGGCACAGTGAAGTCATTTTCATGACAAGAGCAAGTATGTTGAGATGGCGCACTGACAAGGCTTGAAATCCTGGAGACTGAGGAACCCATCTGAGAGCTGCAGGCAAGATGGTGTTCGGGAAGAGCACATGGTGTAAATTTCACTGAAAAGAAGCTTTCTTCTCCGTTGTATTGTTGCCCCCTGACAACCCTAAAACACATCCATATAACAAAGCCGGAGGGGAGAGATCACATGGGAGTCTACTTCATATTTCAATGGTTTGGTGTACTGTAGCAGCTCCGTATGTGTCTGGTGCTTTAATCCGGTTTGGAATACAGCAGCGCGGTGTCCTCCTTGGTAGTAGGAGAAAAGGGAACAGCTGTTTCCCTCCTTAGCGAGGTGATGGTGTCTTGGATTTGTGGACTTTCTAGAAAACTTGAGTCTAATTCTCACAGAGTCCTCCGTCCGCTTATCTCGTCTGATGCCGACTTCTGAACCTCAGTCTAATTTAGCTCGCCATCTGCGCCAACTGGCATCGCTTGGCAGCAGGGAGTGACTTCCGGTCAGATGTGGCCGCTGCAAAGCGAAGGATGTGGAGGCTTAACACAAGATATTGGCTTAGGAAACTCTGTTCTGTGTCCTGCGACATAAGGACGTGTGCAGATATCAGGCTATGAAGAGAACCTGCCTTGTACAAAGCTGAGGACTCGTCCATTAAACTCCAGGAAGAGAACTAAAAAGCGTACAGTTATCATCCTGCAATCCTGTCATGTGACATGTCAGCTCTAAATTCCATCTTTAAAAGTCAACTGCAATGCATCCTTTAAAGTGCACAATGCACTGCACCCAGGGACGGATTTCCCACAAGGCCAACCAAGGCCTGGCCTTGGGTCAGCAGGGAGTAGAGGGGCGGCAGGGGTGTGGAATTTCTATCTGCATGTCCAGGACATGCAGTTCCGAGCGCCGGGAGGGTAATTGTTTTCTACATTTAGCCCTGCTTTGGGCAAGCAGGGCTAAATGTACAGCAGGGAAGCCGCCGCTTGTTTTGTACACGTGATCTCGGCGATGTCGCCGAGTTCACTTGTATGCAGCCTACAGGTCTGCCATTCTCCATGGGG